TCAACAACAACATCATCATCATCAACATCATCAACATCATCATCGTCCTCATTCCTCTTTCCACCGGGACCACCAGGTCGATCGACTCCCGTCTTGCGTCGACGCTCAGCCCCACACCCGTCAGTTCGAAGGTGCCGTTGGAGGCCTTCTCGTTGTAGATGGCGTCGACGCAGGCCAGCGAGACGTCGTCGCGGCCTCGGCGGGCACGAGAGGATGCAAGGATGACGTTGACTCGGAGGTCCAACGCCGATCCGAGAAAAATACGCGCGGACCTCCTTACGTTCATGTCATTCTTCGCTCCCCGATCCCAACCGACTACCTACCAGACCACCCCAACCCAACCCGAAGACCCGAATTTCGGGTTGGGGGGGTACGGGTTCCATGTGTTTTCTCAGTGCTCCCCGACACCCCCCCACTGGAAATGGAGGGCAAACTGAGGCCTTCGGGTTGGGATGCGGTGGTTTGGTGGGTGGTGACTAACCTCGTCCGAGCTTATGCCGTTGTTTCTTCTTCACATGTTCCCAGACCTAGAAATGTTCTACGACCAAAAACATGGTTCTTAGAACATAAGCCCTATGCGTTACAACACGACCGCCTCAGCCAGAAATGTTCTAAGACCACCCCATGAAAACCACACAAGGTTCTTAGAACATTTCTTGCTAGGCCTATAGGCACGCCAGGACGCCTCGCCACTGCTTGAGTTAAGTCGGGCGTGTCCCTCTACAGGGGGATTTTCGACGAACGATACAACATACAACGAAAAAATGCTCCAAAATGGTCAAAACATGCCCCAAACATACCCCCCTGACGATTTTTTGACTATTTTTGAAGAGTTCCCCCTGTAGAGGGACAGGCCCGACTTAACGCTTGCGTCCACGCTCCCCTGCGCGCTGCAAACTAGGCGCCCGCTGCTGGGCGCCCGCCTCGGCGGCGCCGGCCCCCATGGGCAGCCCCTCCGGCCGCCAGGGGATGTGATTATCGGGGGGGGGCGGGCGGGCCGCTCGCGGGCGCCCGATGCGCGCGGGTCGGGAGAGCCCAGGAATCGACTCGGTGAGTCGACTCGGCGATCCACGCGCATCGAGCGGCGCAAACGGGCGGCCAAGTCGGGAGGAGTCGAACCGGCAGGAATCGGCAGAGCAGTGATGCCCCATTGAGGAGCTGGAACCCAGATCGGGATCCGAAGTCCGATCGCGTCGGAATCGGGATCCATCGACATCAGCTCGAATAGAATCGGAGGAATCGAAACGAGCACCGCACCCTCCTGCATTGACAAACGCGTTTTCTGGCTATTGTCAGAACTATCGGGCGCTTCAATCTTGAACAGCGCGTCGGTGTATTTTTGAGGAGGCTTGTAAGACGATGTACATAAATAGATCGTACCAACACCTCCTGGATAGCCTTCGGACAGCTCAGGCGAGTGCACAGTTTCCCCCGGGGCCGTGGGCGACCCGAGGAGTAGGAGGAGGAGGATAAGAGGACGGGTCGCCTAAGCCCTTCGGAGAAACCCTCCACAGGAGAGCTCTTAGACACCTGCGACGCCCGGACGACCGCGACCTCTAGGAGATTCTCCCTTCACTATGTTTCGATCCGAGTGTCTCTTCATTCTGCGCTCGTCGTTGAAGGGGCCCAAGGACACACAAATGAAAACACACAAATCCCAGGATCCCCCATATGTTTCCATATTTTCTGAAGTTTCGTTTTCCCCCCCGCTTCCCATTGTTTCCCATATTTTCCTGGGAATAGACGAGTAATGATGTCTGTGTATTTTTGTTCCCTCCTTAGTCGTGCCTGTTACGTTGTCGTCACGGCAAGAGCGGCGCAAGCAGTCTGCCGCGGAGACATGCGGTGCCGATGAGGGCCACGGCAGGAAGAACGGGCTGGATCCATCAGTGGATCAGCATCTAGCAGCGATGTTGAAGGTATGCTGCCACTCTTTGACGTCACTAGAGCAGAAAGTCCGCCCTGATCAAAATCACCCCGACACGCGAAGCCGTTTAGCAAACACGCGCCCAATGAAGAAATCGAACAGGGCAAGGCTCCTAGAAAATGCCCGGGGCCGTTGAGTAAACGCCCATGATCGGGACCGGGTGGTTCTTAGGGGAATCGAAAATTACATAAACATAAAAACTCGGAAGTCCGCGCGGATTTCTCGGATCGGCGCCGGACCCCCCTAGAGCGCGTCAGGGGCGGCGCTGGAGGCGCCGCCAGGGGGCCCCAGCGCCGATCCGAGAAATCCGCGCGGACCTCCGAGTTTTTGTGTTGACGTCATTCTTCGTTCCCCCAGTTCTGCCTCTCTCGAGTAGGAGCTATAAGGGGCTCCCAACTTCGGGCTTCGCGCTGCGCGAAGCGCGACGTGAGCACACCCTCGCGCTCTCGCGTCGCCTCCCAGGGGGGAGGGAAGCTGAGGAGGCATCGGAGCCGAACCGCGAAGCGCGAACGACTCCGCGCCCTTGAGGGCGCCCTTGGATGAAGGGGCCCAAGGACACACACACACACACATCTAAATACACACAAAAACAAAAGGATGCCCCCTAGTTTCGCATATCTTCTGGGTCTTTGCCTTCCCCCCCACTTCCCAGATTTCTCGAGCTTTTCCTGGGGATCGACGATGGATTGTGTCTGTGTGTGTGTTTCCCCTCCTGCTTGGAGCCATACCGACTCCGTCCTCGGGCGCCCCCGCCTCCACGAGGTGCCACGGGGCCCGAGCCCTCGCCGAGAGGCGGGGGCCGACCGAGGCGAGGCGCGAGGGAGGCCGGCCCCTCACGGCCCGAGGCCCGCTCGCGGGAACGCACGACGACGACGACGACGACCACGACGACGACGACGACGACGACGACGACGACGACGACGACGACGACCACGACGACGACGACGACGACGACGACGACGACGACGACGACGACGACGACGGCGCCGGGACATCTGGGAGACTCCTCCCGGCCCCATCCACGATGTCCACACGCCCCTGGTCTCGTGCTGCTCCCATCGCGCTGGAGGACCGCATCCCACAGCAATGACTCGGAGCACCCGGAGAAGCACATCGAAACGGTGTCTGCCCGACACACTCGCGAGGCGTCGACCGGCAGTCGCCTGCCGGGGCCCGACACGTGAAAACCCCCAAGTTTCGGTGTGCTCTGGGGAAACCACAAGGTACTGATACCGCTACCCCCCGGACCTCTCCCGGGGCGCGTTCTGACCAGAACTTCGAGGCGAATCTAGCCGTGGCGACGAGGGCCTCTGAGGAGGCCCAAGAAGGGGAAAACGAGGAAAGGGTAGAGGTATGGGTACCTTTTCCTCCTCCGAGTCTCCCGGTGCTCGACATTCTTTCTGGTGGCCAGGGCTACAGTACAGTCGGGGCGTTGACCTAAGGAACCCTGGATAAGAAACGAGGTCCCTTTTTCCATAAGCTAAAACGCGAATTCCAATTCAAACCAAAGGAGAACCTGAGGCGAGCTGTGAAACAATTAAGGAACACTGAGCCCCTCCCCAACGAAAAAGGGCTCCTTCCTCAGCGACCAGACTGCAGGTCGGACCAGCACAGCTCTGGCCACGCGCTTCGCGCTTCGCGCTGCGCCGATGGGCAACAGGGCCCCTCGCGCGCCGCGCGCTCTTCGCCGCGCGCTCCCAGGCGGGGGCGCGCGGCTCCCCCCCCGCCCTTCCCCGTCGGCCCAGCACGGAAGGGGCCCCAAAGACACGCCAATGAACACACACACACACACACAAATCCCGAGACGACCTCCCGCGTTTTTCCACATCTTCTGGGCTTCTGTCTTCCCCCCCACTTCCCACAGTTTCCCCACCTCTTCCTGGGAGCCGACGATTCACGTGCGTGTGCTCCCCTCCTGAAGCATGCCCGGCCTCACCCTGCCCAAGCCTGGGGCGGGCTAGACCACTTCTCGCCGAGCGCGTTCCACTACTCGCAAAGTGCCTACTCGCAAACGTCCGAAAAACACCTGTCTGCTTTGATGTAACTTATTGTAGATCCCCCGCGGGGGATCCAGGCCATTTGCGAGTCGTTACTTTGCGAGCAGTGGAACGCGCTCGTCGAACCTCGGGCGCCCCCGATCTCGGGAGCGGCCAAGAGGGGGGTGTCCAAGAGGGGGGGTGCAAATCATGACCAGCGGCATGTGCGCGGCCCAGCGGGGGGGCCAGGGAGGTAATGAAATGAGAAGAAGCGCCATGAAATCTGGGGAAATATCATGGCCCCCGCCATGGTATCCACCCCAACCTAGTCATCACCCCCCTCTTTGCCGCCCCCGACGCGGGGCCGGGTCCCACCGAGGCCGGGGCTGATCGACTTGCCGACCTCGTCACCCTTCAGCAGTAGGGTGTCCGGGGCGCCGAACCAGATGCCGCCGACGTCCCTGCACGCTGCACGCAGTGACAGCTTCCACATCTCTCGTGCTTTTTCAGCAGGTGCAGATTTTAAGGCGAGGTTTGCGAGGTTTCTATGCTGGTTCGCGAAAGTCTCACGATGTGAAGCACGAGGATCTGCGGGGTTCTCTGGGGTCGCCTGGAAGCTAGCGCCGGGTGCCTGGGCGGCTTTACGCAAGATGCGGAGGTGAATATGGCTTGCTCTCCAAGCCGTCCGATGGCACTCCAGCCGCAGGAGCCTGCAGGGACAGGGGGCGCTCAGTCCTCCAGAGGCTTCTCTCGGGGCCGTCTCGGGCCCCTCGTGAATCCTCTCGAGGCCTCCTTGGAGGCCCCTGGGGCGAGGTCCGCGCCCCCCATTCCGTGATGTTCGATTCCATCGCTCCTCCTCTACGAGCCTCCCCACTCCTTCGAACTAGTACCCACTCCGTCGCACTCCTCCAAACGTTTCCACACTTCTTCCCACTGCTCTTCAGTCCACCCGCTTTTCCCATTCCTCCCCAGTCTACCCCTGTCCCTCCCTGTCCCGCATCTTCCCACTCCGCCCATTCTCCCAGTCCACTACACTCGGTCTGGCATCCTCCGCCCTCTTCCCAAAGCGTTATCTCCATGCCTCATTTTTCATGTTCCTGCAAACTTTTCCAAACGTCTTCTCATATCAGTCCACTCCTCTCCACTTCTCGCATACGCGAATTCCCCTGCATTCCTAGTCAATCCACCCACTCCTCTGACTCATCCCCGCTCACCCCCGCTCCAATCTACCCCCTCCCCCACTCTCCCCAGCACCCACCCCCCCACTCTTCGGACTTATCCCCGCTCGTTCCCACTCTAATCCACCCTAAGGCCCCACTCCCTCTCCTCTGCACCCCCCCCCCACTGCTCCGCCGTCCTGTCCAGTCCTCCGCATTGTGTCATTCCCGATTCCTCTGCTTTTTACCTAACAGCGAAGACTGATAAGTTTCTAGTGGTGTCAAAAGAGAGCATCTGATGACTCAGAAGGGAGGTCTGGGCGGCATCCGGACAGCGAGGGCCGGGCTCAGGGCCGGGCTCGTTTTAAGCAAACAGTCACACACTTCGTGCTCTTCGACCTCCCAAAACTCCATTCCCGGGCCACATTTTGAACGCCCGGAGCCAACTGTAGGCCACTTCGTGCTCTTCGACTTCCCAGAACTCCTTTCCCGGGCAACATTTTGGATGCCCAGAGCCAACTGTAGGCCACTTCGTGCTCTTCGACTTCCCAGAACTCCATTCCCGGGCCACATTTTGAATGCCCGGAGCCAACTGTAGGCCACTTCGTGCTCTTCGAGGTCCCAGAACTCCCTTCCCGGGCCACATTTTGAATGCTCGAGGCAGGCCTGATGCTTGATGAGGGCTGAGCTGAGGCTGAGGCGTGAGGATGAGGCTGAGGCTGAGGCAGGCTGAGGCTGAGGCCGAGGCTGAAGGCAGACTGAGGCTGAGGCTGAAGCAGGCTGAGGCTGAGGCTGAGGCAGGCTGAGGCTGAGGCTGAGGCAGGCTGATGCTGAGGCAGGCTGAGCTGAGGCTGAGGCTGATGCAGATGCAGGCTGAAGCTGAGGCAGGCTGAGGCTGAGGCTGAGGTTGAAGCAGATTGAGGCTGAGGCTGAAGCAGGCTGAGGCTGAGGCAGAGGCAGGCTGAGGCTGAGGCTGATGCAGGCTGAGGCTGATGCAGGCTGAGGCTGAGGCTGAGAGGCTGAGGCAGGCGGAGGCTGAGGCTGAGGCTGAAGGCAGACTGTTGCTGAGGCTGAAGCAGGCTGAGGCTGAGGCTGAGGCAGGCTGAGGCTGAGGCAGGCTGAGGCTGAGGCTGAGGCAGGCTGAGGCTGAGGCTTGGGGCTGATGCAGGCTGAGGGCTGAGGCTGAGGCTGATGCAGGCAGAGGCTGAGGCAGGCTGAGGCTGAGGCCGAGGCTGAAGGCAGACTGAGGCTGAGGCTGAAGCAGGCTGAGGCTGAGGCTGAGGCAGGCTGAGGCTGAGGCAGGCTGAGGCTGAGGCTGAGGGTGAGGCTGAGGCTGAGGCTGAGGCAGGCTGAGGCTGAGGCTGAAGCAGGCTGATACTGAGGCAGGCTGAGGCTGAGGCAGGCTGAGGCACAGAGGCTGAGGCTGAAGGCAGACTGAGGCTGAGGCTGAAGCAGGCTGAGGCTGAGGCTGAGGCAGGCTGAGGCTGAGGCTGAGGCAGGCTGATGCTGAGGCAGGCTGAGGCTGAGGCTGAGGCTGATGCAGGCTGAGGCTGAGGCAGCCTGAGGCTGACGCCGAGGCTGAAGGCAGACTGAGGCTGAGGCTGAAGGCTGAGGCTGAAGCAGGCTGAGGCTGAGGCTGAGGCAGGCTGAGGCTGAGGCAGGCTGAGGCTGAGGCTGAGGCAGGCTGAGGCTGAGGCTGTGACTGCGACTGCCGTTGCCACTGCGACTGTCATCGCGAATGCGACTACGACTGCGAGAACAGCAGAATTCTACAGCTGGATTCTCATCTGAATCTTAAGGGGAATGCTTCCAGATCTGCTCCTACACATCGCTGTTAGGTTGCTTTGCCGGGATAATTTTTGCGATCATCTCCACTCAACTCCTCCATAATCCTGCCACCTCCTCCAGCGTTGCTCCGCGCTCCTCCCTGCTCTTGCCCACTCCTCCTTCCGAGCGTCTACTCCACAGTCCTCCCCGCCACTCCTCCGTCATCTTTCCCCCTCCCCCTCACTTCTCATCATTCTTCCACCCTCCCCTCCACGTCCAGCTCGACCACCAACTCGATCCCCCACCTCCACCCTCAATGCTTCCCCTTTCCACCTCTGCCTCGGCCTCCACCCTTGACCCAGTCATGTTCTCGTCCAGCCCGACTCTCCCTTCCACATTCGCATGTCCCTCGACCCCTCCCCCCAAGACCTCGACTCGTGCGCCACCCCCGGACCGTGAAATCATTATTGAGGGTACGGCAATGGAGGAGGCATGGGTGGACAAAAAGATTGGAATCCCCAAACCATCACCCATTCTCAAATCAACATTGCCCCAGTTGGGCTGGGCTACCGGGACACAATGGTGCGACAAAGTCGGGCGTTGGCAAAACTGGGTTTAGTGGAACCGGTTCCACTAAACCAGGCCTGGTTTATTGATTTGTACCGGGGGCGCCCCCCCGGTCCCATTTCCACTACCGGAACTGCCGTCACCCGAAAAACACCAGTTACGGCAGACCTGGTTCAGTGAATCTTGCCACTGGAAGGGCCCCAGGGCCCTACCAATAACCGGGTCCCCTTACCCGGGGTCCTGGCTATACCCGACAAAGGGCCACCCGGGGCAGGGGCCAACTGGGGCAGCTGCAGTCGACTGGGGCCAACTGGAGCAGGCTTGGCAGCCTGCGGCCGGCTGGGGCCCCACGGGGCCGGCTCCCTGGGCCAGGGGGGAGGAGAACGGCCACCTCCTGCGGCCGCCCCGTCGGCGCCGCCTTCTCAAAGGCCACAGGCTCCGAGCGCCATCGTGATCCGGAGCCAGCCGCGATGATCAACGACAAACTTGACCCACACACACACACACACACACACACACTCTGAGAGCACTGATCAACAACATGTGCCGCGTCAGACACGCCGACCTGCACGAGCGCGCGCGACGCGTTGCCCCGACCTCGAAACATCTCGGACATCGCAAGGCGCGCGCAAAACAATTCAAACTCCGATACGTATACACTTCATACTTGGGATGTAAGTTATGGGTCCCCGTATGTTCCATCGCGTTAAGCACAGCTTGTTTTCCGAACGGCTGACTGATTGTATGGCACCCTACCAGGGTCCAAGACGGCCAAATATGATTCAGAAAGGGCCAAGAGATCCCCAAGAGAACGCACGGTTGACCAACGCGGCCGCAATATGACCCCAAGACGGCCCACGGCGGCTTCAACACGGCCAACAACAGCCCATGAAAGCAACAAGACGGCGCAAGAGGGAGCTTGAGAGGCACCGAACAAGCCGCACGATACAAGGTAAACACACAGTGCTTCACACATTTTAACATCTCCGCCTGGTCGGCTGAAACGAGTCCGAACGGTTTGTCTGGGAGACGGCGCTGAAGGCCCAGGCCCAAAGGGCCCCAGAAGGCCAAGGACGGGACCAAGATAAGCTCAAGACCAGCCGCGCGAACCCCCAGGTTGGCCAAGATGGCCCAAGCAAAAAGACCCATGACAGTGCGAAATGTCCGCGCGACAGCCCAAGAGTCCAGCGAACCGCGAGCCGTAAAGCGGACACCGAAAGGCCCCTGCGATGCACTGCGACTGTTTGACTGGTGCGGCGACGGCGTCAAAATGTCAGTACATACGTCCAAGCGACATGTGCGCGCCCAGGTTCAAACACATCGAGTAGTGGAATGAAAACAGGAATGGGAGCGCGATCGCAAGATGAAACAAAGGGCATGCAGCATGGGGCGTGCAAACTCATTGAGTCATCTAGTACCTGCGAAAAATGAGAAACGATGCTGGACACGCATGCCTGACTAAATCCGTCTCGGCGAACGTCGAACAAGCACGCGTAGAGCCATGTGACAGACAACGTACAAGAACAACTGCCATTACGAAAACATGTTCCCAAGTGTCAGGCAAGCTGCCCAAACGCACACATGAAAAATGCGGGCAATATGGCCAACATCCAGCTCCAGATCGTCCATGCAGACGCATATGCGCGCGCATGCAATAATCAATCGCGTGCGTATTGCCATGTTAACCCGCCGATCCGGCGTGTGAGTTTCAAGGATCCCCGGAACAGCCTGAGCCTCAATTCCTGAACTTCAACTCTACTGGGGGGTGGGTGCCAAGGTTGCTCTGCCGGGGTAGGGGGAGGGGGTGGGGTGGTTCGATTTAACTCTCGAGGCGGAATCGGAGCTCCAGCTCACTCCGGGACGGCCCCCTCGCCCAAGAGGGCCCCGACATGGGCCGAGAGGGCCGCGGGTCGCCGAACAATCGCTACAAGACGCCCAAGATGTCCCCCAGACGGCCCCAGAAGCCTCCAAAATACCCTCAGGAGCCCTGAAAAGCCCTCCCAAAAAAGGCCCACTTAAGCAACAAGTGCCCCATTCCTTTCCAGGAATAACGTACAATTTCAGCATGCTCGCCTCGTGGGCCTCCAGGGCGTCGCAGACGCCCCAAAAGAGCCCCAAAACGTACCAAAAAGCCACCAAGAAGGCTCCAAGGCGGCCCGAAAAGAGGCCCAAGATGGCCCAAGAGGCCCCCGGAAAGACCCACGAGGGCCCCAAGACGGCCCCAAGAGGCGCATGAGAGGGCGCCAAGACGGCAGAAAAAATCCCGATGACAGCCCACGAAGCCCCCAGCAGGCCCTCAGAGGCCCTCAAGAGGCCTGAAGAGGTCCCAAAAAACGCTTCCAACTGGCCCCGAAGAGGCCCCTTGAAGTCCCCTAGAGGCCTCCAGGAGCATCAAACAATGCATCCAAGACGCCTGCTGAGGCCTCCAAGCTGCCTCCAAGACTCCCCCCGAGAAGCCCCGAACCGGCCCCAATGCTTCCACGGCGCTTACGTCTGAGCACAAGCGTTGCAATACAAAGGGTTCTTCCACGCTTTCACAGATTCTCCCGTCTTCGGTGTCCTGCACATCCATCATCTCACAAAGACCCGCAGAGGACCACGCGAAGACCCCAGAACCCCCCAAAACAGAACGGTTCCCAGCAGAGGCCAGCGATGCACAAGGCTCCACAAAAACTGCGACGCAGACAACTCTAGCGCAAAGTTTTTCAGAGAGTGCGCCAAATCGGCGAGGTGTCAACCCAAAGAGGGCAAAGGCTTTGGCCCCAAAGAGGCTTTCCAAGAACGGCCGAACATCTCCAATAACCGCCGACAATCTCCTCATCCTCGTCATTATCCTCCTTCTCCCCCTCCCTCTCTTCCACTTCCCGTTTCCTCCTTCTCCTCCTCATCCCCAGCATCCTGCTACTCCTGCCCCTCCCCCCCACCCGCCTACACCTCACCATGATCCTCTTCCTCCTCCTCATCATCCTACTCCGTTGCCTCCATTCCAAATCCTCATCATCGTCCTCGCCGCTCGCCGTCGCCGCCAGTCATGACCGCCATCGTGCGCTTCCGGCAGCAATGGAAGCGTCCCAAATCGGCGGCACTGGATGGAGTCAACTACAATGTACGTACGCAAGTACATACTTACATATGCATACATACACACGTGCATGCATACATACCTGCATACATACATACATACATACATACATACATACATACATACATACATGAATCCATACCTATACGACCACCCTTCGGGTGATAAAGAGGTTGTGTGAAAGGAGAGGGGGGACCAACATCTGACTCAATCGATCGCGCAATCGATCTCACTCAACGGGACACCACGCGACACCACGCGACACTCGTCGATCTCACTATCGATCTCACTTTCGATCTCACTCAACGGGACACCACGGGACACCACAGGCCACCACGGGACACCACGAGACACCGCGGGCCACCTCTCGATCTCACGATCGGTCTCACTATCGGTCTCACTATCGACTTTATTATCGATCTCACTCAACGGAACACCATAGGACACCACGGGACGTCCACAGTTATCTCACGATCGGTCTCACTATCGATCTGACTTGTTGGGGCACCACGGAACACCTCGGGGTACCACATCGATCTCACTATCGATCTCACTATCGATCTCACTCAAGGGAACACCACGGGACACCACGGAACACCTTGCGATCTCACTATCGATCTCAGCCAACGGGACACCACAGAACACCACGGGACACCGCGGGGCACCACATCCATCTCAGAATCGATCTCACGATCGATCTCACTATCGATCTCACTCAACGTGACACCACGGGACACCACGGGACACCGCGGAACACCGCGGAACACCGCCAGAGGGACGGACGGACGGGCCGACGGGGGAGAATCATTTGTCTTGGCTTCGCCCTAGCATCGGCAAACACCACGGGACACCACGGGACACCGCGGGACACAGCGAGCCACCGCCGGACGGACGGACGGACGGGGGAGAATCATTTGTATTGACTTCGCCCTGGCAACAGCGGACAACACAGGACACCACAGGACACCGCGGGACACCGCTAGGGCCACCGCCGGACGGACGGACAGACGGGGGAGAATCATTTGTCTTGACTTCGCCCTAATAACGGCGGACACCACCGGACACCACAAGACACCGCGGGACACCGCGAGCCACCGCCGGACGGACGGACGGACGGGGGAGAATCATTGTCTTGACTTCGCCCTAGCACTGCGGGTTCATTCCTCTCGCGCGCCCACGCAGCTTCGCCTTGCCCGCACGCATGACACGAACGAAACGAAACGATTTCCCGGTTGGGAGTCTCCGTTCAACAGCGATCTCACCCCCCAACCCTCCGACACACATACATACATACATCCATCCATCCATCCATCCATCCATCCATCCATACATACATACATACATACATACATACACACATACACCCATGCATACATACATATATGCATGCATGCATGCATGCGTGCATACATACATACATACATGCATGCATGCATGCATGCATACATACATATATGCATACACACATACAAGCATACAAGCATACAAGCATACAGACATACATACATACATACATACATACATACATACATACATACATACATACATACATACATACATGCATGCATGCATGCATGCATGCATGCATGCATGCATGCATGCATACATACACACATGCATACATGCATGCATACATACACTCATACATACATGCATATATACGTACATGCATACATCCGTTCATTCATTCATTCATACATGCATATATACAAACATATATACATACATATAACAAGCGTCTGCGTCCCCCTTTGGTTGGCCGCTTCGCCTGGGACGTCCTCGAATTGCCGATCTGAGAGTCGGACGCACCCCTCACGCAGATATTGACGGCACGATGAAGATAACAATATTCAGTGTTCGACAGTTTACGCACTCGTATGAAACCATGTGTCGTTCATTGGTTCCAAGTGTGCTTTTCGCCAGAGCTGACAGGCCGATTAAAACCAGTCGTTGGCCACGCCATTGCACCTGCCTGGCACAGATCGACATGCCTGTGTATCTTCCGATTGATACGGGCATGTCCGCTCAACGAAATGGCGCAGCCTACGCACTACCACGGTGGTGTCCAGGCATGCTTCTTGCTCAACACGGTTGAACAACGGTTTCGCAAACGCACTAGTGACTGAATCACTGTTCATTCCCCAATGTCGGCTGTCCTATCCTTCGAGAGCTCTCCCAAAGCTCCTGCTCACACCTCCGCTCGATCTGCATGAACCTGGGCACGCTGCAGCCGATATGGGCCCCGCACCTCCCCCGCACCTCCGGCCTCAAAGGCATGCACACCCCTCCCCCTATCCCCCGACCCGCGCAGGATCTCCTGGGAAAGTCATTGTTCATGGGCGTTGGGCGGATGATGGTGTAGTCCAGCCCGCTGGCCTTCAGGTACTCCTCGGCCTGGCAAGGGAACGGCTGGACCCAGAGATCCGATGTATGGTGTGTTTGTTCAGCGCGGCGCCCCTGGAATCCCCGACCCTCGCCCCAGGGCGGGCATTGCATCCTGGGTCTTTTTCTGACAATCAGGCGGCCCGGCGAAGGAACCCCGAGGCCGAAAACTACGGAAATTACGATAAGAAAAACCGTACACTTTCGGAGCTCCGCGTGGATTCCTTGGATCCGCGCTGAACCCTCATCCCTGACGCGCGGAGCGCGCCAGGGGCGGCGCCGAAGAAGCCGCCAGAGGGGGCCCAGCGCCGATCCGAGAACTCCGCGCGGAGCTCCGAACGTGGTGATTTTGCATTCAGAGTAAACGACGACAAGCTCCAGATCTGAGCATCGTTTAACCGATCCCCATCCCCAGCGGCGTGGCCTGGGCCCCACTGGCCGATGTACCCCCCTAGATGGGGATATAGGCCGTTCCCTTCGGGTGTCGAGGGATGTATCCCCAACGGGGGTGCTAATTTGGTGGGGGTCTCGAAGGGGATGGGGATGGGGATGGAGATCGGTTAACCGATGCCGAAAGCTCCACACCTCATTGATCAATACGCTGGCGGTCTGGGGAGGCGTAGGCTCGACCCGCGCCGGACGCGCCCAGGTCTGGCGCTGTGTAGGGTGCCCACCCCATGCCCGGGCAGGAGGTCGCTCCGCCTCGCCGCACAGGTCTGCACAGCATGGCCTGCACCACGTCGACCGAGACGCTGAGACTGCAGCGCACAGCTTGCTCCCCACAGCTTACACCACATATAGGGGAACAGAAAGTGACATAAACAAAAAGACTCGGAGGTCCGCGCGGATTTCTCGGATCGGCGCTGGACCCCCCTCCCCGGCGCGCGGAGCGCGCCAGGGGCGGCGCCAGAGGCGCCGCCGGGGGGCCCCAGCGCCGATCCGAGAAGTCCGCGCGGACCTCCGAGTTTTATGTTTATGTCACTTTTTGTTCCCCTGAAATAACTTGCACCACATGGCCTACGTCACATTGCTTACACACGAGGGAGCTTGCTCCACACACCATGCGCCACAACAAGAATGCACCATGTACTTTGCATCACGTCGGCTGCCCCAGATCGGAAGAGAACTGATAAAATCGACCACCCCCTGAGGCCAGGATTATTGACACCTCCTGGGGCCAAACAAATTACAGACGCATGTGCCTCAAATGTCACACTGCTTGACAATGCACAATATCCCAGCCCCTCTTTTCAAGCAGTTCTATTCGCACACGCGATCATGGCACATCAGTGTTCAAGAAAACCTTGCACACACAAAGGAAAAAAACGCTTGTCGTCGCGCAAGCGTGTCGGAACCTTTTCCAGCACATCGGGACTCGTGGGGCACTCACAATCGAGATCCCCATACAGTGTGGACACCCGGCGTGTTCCACGAAGAAATATGCGCGCGCGTCGATGCGAATTCGTACGGACACCATTGGTTGTTCAATTTTCGTCGAAAGGAACCACGCGCCTCCCCCCCGCGCGCATGTCGAAACCATTTGAACACCCCTTGCGCGTTTGCTGGGGGGTGGGGCGCAATCCCTGTCAAATACGACAACGCGGGCCATTCGCGCAGGTCGGCCTCGCGCGCATGTCGATATGCTCCGCAACCCTCCTTACCGACACTGGGACGTCATCATCGTCATCGGCGTTACAAGCATGAGCGCCGTCATTGGAACAACCATCGTCATCGCAATCCTCGTCACCACCCTCGATACTATGCTCATCCGTGCCGGTGCTGCTGGCATCATCATGATACCGTGCCCGCCCGAACCACCGGCCAGCAATGAAACGCCCGCGTGCCAGCGAGGCATGTGACACGCGGTGGTACATTGCGGATGGTAGGCGCCATCGCAGCAGCATCGGTTGTGCCACACCAGGTGGCCGCTGTGCGCGAAAGCTTGCGCGAGAAAGCGCGGCCGCAGAGATGCGCCAGCCAGGGCCGAGCAGGCATCGCATTCGCCGCAGTATGGGTTGTGCTAACCACATTGCGGCTCGGAGAGTGAGACGGGTGCGCGAAAAGTGAAGATGACAATTCCCAGGTCTTCGAAATTGATTGCATCATTCAACTTGCCCACGCAGTTGACACCCGTAGCTCACACCACATAGCTTGTGACACGCAACGGGCAAGACACAGCTTGCACGACACGGATTGCACCACATAGCTTGCACCGCAACGATTGCACTACACGCTGAAACGCACACAATGTAATAGATTACTGTGCGGGGTCCGCGCTGGCAAACATCATATTACTAACGAGAACACCCGCTACCTGCCCGGCCACACGCACACACCGTAACGTCACGATTCGCGCCAACGCCGTCAAGGGAGTAGCAATTCCTAAAGACGTTTCCAAACGGCGCCGGCGAAACGTTCCAGTAATGGCCCCCGTCCCACCCTTCCCAGTAGCGCCCGTTATTGCAAAAGGATGGTTACTCGACGCGGAGATCCCCATATGTGCGTCTCATAAATCCTGTCACGTCGCGCTGAGGCACTCTGTCTGTGAGCATCTGGATGTGAGAGCGAATCCGCGTAGACGACAGGCGCGACAACGACGACGACACCGACGCCTTCAGTGACGTCCTCCTCCTTGAGACATGTTTCAGGAGAAACGAAGAAGACGCAAGTGGAAGAGCGAGAGGGAATCCTTGTCGTTCTGACTGCAGCAACTCAGGCAAGCCCGCTCTCTGGCGCATGGCGCTGCTACGCCCGCTCTCTGGCGTGCTACTCGTGGCGCCGGCTATATCGCGGTAGTTAGCTTCCTGCGTGTGAACCTTGGTGCGAGCGAACCTGAGTGTGAATGATCTGGGCGCGAGCGAGTCAGAGTACGAATGATCTGGGAATGGACAAGACTGAGTGCGAGCGAGTCTGAGTGCGAGTGGGTCTGCGTGCGAGTAAGTCTGAGTGTGAGTGGGAAAATGAGCGTAACGAATATGAATATGAATGTGGATGAGCCTGAGTCTGAGGCAGCCTGAGGTTGCGCGAAAGTCTAAAACTGACTGGGTCTGAGTGTAAGCTAAATGTGGGTCTAGTGAGTCAGAGTTCGTGTGAATCTGAGGACGACTGAGACTAAGTATGAGCAAATCTGAACATGAGTGAGTCTGAGAATGCGCGAGTCTGGATGTGATGAATGAGTCTGAATGAGGAAGACGTGCTGGTGAATACGTATGAGTGTGAATGAGTGAGTCTGAAGGAAAAGGCGGAGGAGGAGGAGGAGGAGGTGAGTGATGAATGAAAAGCACCGAAGTCCACAAAGAAGCTCGGGGGAGAAACAGGCAAACCGCCGGAGGCATCCCCACAAACGGACGCGAATCTTGGAGCGTCCCCACCTCTGGCGGCCCCCCCTTGGGGTGCTTAATTGCAGTGCCTGCTATGAGCACTGGACCACCAAAAGAGAGCAGCCTGGGGGAGCAGAAACAAGCGAACAGCCTGACACATCCCTCCGCCTCTTCCTCCTCCTCCTCCTCCTCCTCCTCCTCCTCTTTCTCCTCCTCTTTCTCTTTCTCCTTTTCCTCCTCCTCCTCCTCCTCCTCCTCCTCGTCCTCCTCCTCCTCACGGGCGAGCGTCATACCCCCTGGCGGCTCTCCCTCGGGGTGCCCAATGGCCACGCCTGCGATATCTCGCGGTGAGAGGTGGACCACCCACAGAGAGATGTCCGGGCAGGTCAGAAAGCGTGAGCGTGAGTGAGTGAGGCTGAGTGTGTCTGAGTGTGAGTAAAGGGGCCCCAGGACACACAAATAAATACACACAAATAAAGAAATATCCCCCATATTGTATTAGATTTTTTGGGTTTTCGTCTTCCCCCCCACTGCCCATATGTTCCCATATTTTCTATGGAATCGACGATTAATTACGTCTGTGTGTTTTTTCCCCTCTTGAGTGTGAGTGGGTCTGAGTATGAGTGAGTCTGAGTGGGAGTGAGTCTGAGTGTGAGTGAGTTTGAACATAAAAACGACTCTGAATATGAGCGAGTCTGTCGGTCAGGCATTCGACTGCGAGCGATCTGTGATGGATCCCCTGAGAAGGAACAGGGAGAGGATGGAGGTCCAGAGGCGTCTCAATAGTATCAAGACGACCCATCTCAGGATATGGGGAGCAAAGTCTCTAGAGAGAGGGTGTGCAGAAGCTGGAAGCATTCCTATCAAGCGAGAGGGCGCCAGGTATGCGGAACATACACGAAGGGAACAGAAGGAGCAGAAGCAGTCCGTGTCTGCAGCATCCCAAAGCGTCTCAACTCATCAACATCGGGGACACGCGAATGGATTAGGGATCTATGGATCTGGCACGTTGGCGTCAGATCCATGGATCTGGGAATGTACCCCCGAAACATGATGTCAACGCCGCCTGATCTGGCAACGGAGCGCGCCGATCATGTATGACAACGGGACCCGCCGCAAATCCGCGCGCCTGAAACCATGTGTGCGCTTTTACGGTCATCAGCAGTACACCGTTGCTTCCTCACAAAACAACGTCTACGCGAGCCAAGTCTCGCCCGAGCCTCGTGCTTCATGTCCAACACGTTGCCGTAGCTGTTCCAGTCCTTGAACGCGCTGCTCTCGTCCTCCCCGAGAGCCCGTGCGTTGGTGAGGATGGCTGACACGTAGATAAACTTCTTGACTCCCTTGCGGAATTCGCAAAATCGCAAGTCTTGCTTGCAGGGGCAGGGGGATGCGAACACACACGCACACACACAAACACGCACACACAAATGATTGGGGAGACTGAGCCCGAATGCTCACGTGCACCCAACAGGGCCGTCATGTCGTCGCCTGACGGATGTATGTTAGGCCAGATCTCCTTGAGGCGCCAGAGGCTGAAAGCCCAGGTCACCCAGCTGTAGCACCTCCCGCCCAACGGTGCGCGAAGCGCGCGCTGCCTTCGCGCAGGCGCGCCGCCGCCCCCCCTGGAGGGAGGCAGCTCTCGGGCCAAGACCGCGGCGCGCTGCCCCTGGATGCGGGGGCCCAGGGATGCACAGATAAAGAGGCACGAGCCCCAGGATCCCCCCATCTGTCTGCACATGTTCTAATCAGGCTTGCGTCTTCCACCCCCCCGCACCCACTTCCCATCTTCCCCCATCTTTTCCTGGGGGTCGACAATTCGTTGTCTCTGTGTGTGTTCTTTCCCCTCCTGACTGGAGCCCGTCCTCCCCCCCCTGGCGCTGCCCCTGATCCCCGGGGGCGAAGACGGGGGCGCACAGCCCCGGGAAGGACCGCACACGTGCAGCCGGGAAGGTGCTGGTGGCCCTTGGTTGCGGCGAGGCTCCCCGGCGGATGCGTGGAATGCCCGCCCCGGGGCGACTCGCACCCTATCGTCGCTTCCGGAGGAGGCATGAGGAGGGAGGAGGAGGAGGAGAAGGAGGAGGAGGAGGAGGAGTAGGAGGAGGAGGAGGAGGAGGAGGAGGAGGAGGAGGAGGAGGCGGAGGGGAAGCCAGAGGAGGGGAAGCCAGAGGAGGAGGAGGAGGAGGCCCTCCCCGAACACTGCCCCCCCGAACCCGCCCACAACGCCCGCCAGTGGGCAGAGCCGGCGCGCCGAGCGGCCCCCGGGAGCCCTCCTCCTCGGGGGGGCATCGCCCGAGGAGACCCCCCGCCAGGGGGCGCCCCCCTCGCGGCCGTCAAGAGCCTCCGAGGGGCGGCGCCATCGGGTGGTCCAGGGAAGGCACGGCAAGCTCGTGCCGTGCCGTGCCCCGGCGCGGGTAGCTTTCCACCGCGGGGATCGCTGAGCACTGAACGATCGGCTGCTTCGGACACGTCAGATCGGTCCACATCGACCGATTCTGGGTCGCCCTCGGCGTTCCACGTTGAACGTCGGCGGCGGCGTCGCCGCTGATCGACACGACGCGAGCCTACCGTAGGCTTGGGCGTTGCTTGGTGGGGGGGCGCGAGAAATGGGGGAGGGGAAACACGTGCACATTTCGTGGCCCCTTTAGGGCCCCTTTGAAGAGCACCTGTCTTCATCCCACCCCATGATTCTCGCCCCCATCTATGGAACGCCCGAGATCAGGCGACCACAAACATAGATCAAGGGGCGTGGACTAGCGACGAGCCCAGCTTCCATGGGGAATCGCAGATTCCCGCCGCCGAACGAGGCGGTACAAGGCCGCATTTTGGGGGGGGGCGCCTCCCCCGATCCGTGGATCTGGCGACCGCGCGCCAAATCCATGGATCGCTAGTCCATGCTTGCGCGCCCGCGACGAGAGGGGCTCTCGAGCGCGGATCCGGGGCGAAGGCGCTGGCCCCGGGGTGGGCGTCGGGGCCTCTGCGGCCGTGCACCAGCAGCGCGGTCGACCCGTAGGAGAAGGACGCACGACATAAAGTGCGCGGGGGCCTTGCGAGGCCATGTCGGCACTCTGCGGGCGGGGGCACGGCCCGTGGAAGCGGCCCAGGATGGGCCGAAGGGGATTGACCGCAAGGGCAAGCTTGGGAAGCTGCGCGTCCTCACAGCGGGGGCCCGACCACGAGAGACCTTGCACGAGAAACCTTCCACGAGAAACCTAACCCTGAGACCCCAGGGCGTCCGTTGATCCTTGGTGTGGGAGCGTCACGCTGTCCATCGCAGAACCATCGAAGCCCAAGAAACCGAGTTGCTCGTCCTCCAGGTGCAGGTTGCATGCAAAAGCCCAGGTCAGATTGCCGCGCGAGCGCCAGTCTGGGGGTCGGAGCGGCGCTGTCCGCCCTCGAGGCAGTGCGAGAGGCGACGCGCGGAGAGGGAGGGGCGAGGCAGCAGCGGGCGCCTTCTGCACCCGCCCCGAACTCGGGGGTGCCCTCGGGGAGGCGACCCTGGAAAGTCGCTAATCCTTACCTGAAGGGGCCCAGGGGCACACACAACTCCGCCGGCCCCCTTGCGGAGCCACTGGGCTGCGAGGGTGAAGATTGCAGCTCCCTGTTCCAGTTGCAGGCTCCAGTTTTCACAGTTACAGTCCTGCTTTCTGCTTCCTCACTGTTATGTGTTGCTGTCCGCGCGAGGGGTGGAAGCCCCAAACGGGATTTTTTACCACCCCCTGGGAGGGTTCTCAAAATTCCTGGGGGGGCGCGGGACACGTAAAAATACATGACGTTCGCGTCCCCAAGACCATGATCCCTAGTAAAGTACGCCATGTTCGCGTCCCCGAGGCCATAAACTCATGTAAATTACAACATATTCGCGTCCCCGAAGCCATAATCCTTCGCAGATGACGCGACATTCACGTCCCCGAAGCAATACACCATCGCAAATGATATTAGATTCGCGAGCCCCCAGCGAGCATAAAACCACAGAAATTACTGACTAGTCGCGTCCCCGAAGCCATAAACCCGTGTACCTACGCGGTACTCGCGTATCCTAACCCACAAACCCTCGCAAATTATACAATATTCGCGTCCCCGAAGCTACACAATCTCGTCAATATGCTATGCCACTTACCAATTGCCCTAGCATGAGATTCCGACATTGTTTCACGACGGCGCCGAGAAAATACAACATAGCTCTGGCAAACCGCATTCTGATTGAACAGGGGCCTGCGGCAGGGGGCGAAGCCCTTACGGATAAGTGCGCACATCCCAGGATCTCCATATGTTCTTCCAGTTTCTGGGTGTTCGTCGTCCCCCCACTTCCCACATTTTCCCATATCCTCCCGGGAACCCACGATTCATTGTGCCTGTGTGCTTCCGGCGGGTCGGCTGTGCCAGATCGCCAGCTGTCTCGGGGCATGCCGCGGCCGGCGGAGGAACCCACAGTCCGAGGGGCGCTGTGCGCGGTGGCGTCTGGCCGCGGTCGGGCGCCCCGCCCCCCCCCCCCCGGGGGCAGCTCGACTGCGACGCGCCCGTCGCCTCTCGCCTCCGCCCACCCCTTGCCGTCGCTCGGACGTCCATTTCCCGTGCATTGTTCGGTTTCGCGCGTGTTTTTTGTGCTCGATGGTCCAGGATGGTCCTCGATGGTTCTCGCCGAAGAAAAAATGCACACGTCCGAGCGATGCCGAGACTCCTCCGTGGCCCCCCTCCTCACGGCAGGGCTCCCCAGGCTTCTCCCGGAACGCGCCCTGGACTGGGACCTCCACGCAGACCCCTGCCGCGGCGACGAGGGGCCCTGGGGAGGCCAAAGAGGCCGCAGCCTTCAAAATCCTCACCTGCTCCTCCTCCTCCTCCTTAGCCATTTCCTGCCTCCTCGTCTCCTTCTCCTCCTCCTCCTCCTCCTCATCATCATCATCAACAACATCATCACCGCCATCATCATCATCCTCATCATCATCACCAGCATCATCATCACCATCATCATCAGCAGCATCATCACCACCATGATCTCCATCACCACCATCAGCATCGACAGCATCACAATCATCAACGATCCTCGACGCCCTCCTCCCTAGAATCAGGCCGACACGGAAGCGCGAGGCCCAGCACGCCTTCGCGACCGCTGCGTCCACCAGGGCCTTCGTGCCGTTGCGGTCCGTCCTCGCAGGACGAGGAGGAGGAGGATACGGGACGAGACTTCAACGACCAGGTTCAATGACCCATTGACTGCCCTGGCCTGGGCAGCACTATCGTACCACCTCCGCCACAGGGCGGCAGGAACACAGGGGGAGGAGGAGGGGGAGGACAAGCTCCTGGAGATGGAACCATGAGGAGCAACCCATGGTCTCTCATTGTAAAAATGGTGCGCTACGAAAATGGCCCGATGACGCCGGCGGTCGCCAAAACACACAAGCCCGTGCTGCCCCACGCCAGGGGGAGGAGGAGGAGGAGGAGGAGGGAGGGAGAGGAAGGAGGGGAGGGAGGAGGAGGAGGAGGAGGAGGAGGAGGAGGAGAAGGAGGAGGTGGAGGAGGAGGAGGAGGAGGCGGAGGAGGAGGAAAAGGAGGAGGAGAGGGAGGAGAGGAGGAGCGCGCTGAAGGACTCACTGCGGTGCTTCTCGTCGTCTCAATCCTCTCGGGGGCCCTCGCTGGTGCATTCCATGCTGTGCAATGATTTCTTCTTCCTCTCGTGGAATCATCGACGCCACTGCTCGCGCAATCGCCCCAGCCCGACCTTTCGCGATGCAGATCCGTGCCGCTGAAGACTCGCTGGCCTAACACGCAGGAGGTCGCCCCCCGAACCCAGCGCAGACGTGGGGAAGGAGGGGGCCCGAAATCATCCCTCCACCCCGCTCCGGCGCAAAGGAGGGTTGGGGGGGTCCGAAACCTTCGCCCTCTCCTTTCAAATGGAGGGGGGGCCGAAAACTCCACAACCCCCATTGGAGGGGGGTTCTGCGAGCACCCCCCCTTTTCAACCAGTGGGGCATCCACTGGCGGACCTTCGCGATCTACGATGTGCAACTTAGGCGGCGACGGGGCGGCGACGGCGACAACATACCCGGCAGACCGACGCACAGGCCCAGACGATGGGCAGCGACGAGCCGGCGACGGGGCGGCGACGGCGACCATATAGCCGCCAGACAGAGGCACAGGCCCAGCTCCTTTTTCCATAGACGACGAAGCAACTGCATAAACATAAACTTTTGGAGGTCAGCGCGGATTTATCATTTGAACCGTCGGGGTCCCCAACAGACGCGATCTGGATGAATGGTTGTCGCGTCAGCTTCCCCATAATCGACGTCGGTACAGTATCAACTGCTCGGAGCCATCGAACGTATACCTGGCAAGCGTGCGTCGCAGTGGTCACCGCAATTGGGAAATCGTGATAAGTCCTTAGTGTTCGCGACGCGAGTGCATGCAGAGTTGAACGCAAGTTGTGCATGCAGGTTTGTGCTCGAGTTTGTGTTGCTGTTACTGATTCTCTTGTTGTTTCTCCTCATCGTCTTGCAAAATGGTGCCTGCCACGAACGAGGTGCTACTCATATCCCGCGGATGATAGCTCACCTGCTCCCGAGCGAGCAAGCGTGCGCCATGCACGGGCACATCGAGTACGCTGCTTCAGGGGGCTCTGGCCAGCAGATCATGAAGGGGAGGGGAACCGATCAATCTGCCCCGTTCGCTGGAACCCTTGAGGCGGCACGCTGCCAACGCGCATGATGAGGATCCGTCGTAAGGGTGTACGCCCGCCAGGCGACCAAAAAGAAGGTGATTGAGCTAAGGATTTCGTAGGATGTGCTAGTGGGGTGCCGTCTCCTCTCCGGCTCTGCCTCGTCGGTGAGGAGAAAGGGCCGGAAGACGTCGAAGCCCTTCCGCGCTCCCGCCACGTGGATGACGACCTGGCGCGGGGGGCGAGGGAAGCGGAGGATGCGCACGTCAGAGACGACGGAGGCGGCGGAGGAGGCGGTGGCACACGTCAGGGAAGACTTGCGCAGGGAGAGTCAGGTGGAGGGGGAGGACAGGACGGATAAACGGAGCACTGTAGAGGCGCCCAGGGACACACACATAAATACACATAAATCCACTGATTCCACACATTTTCCAATGTATATATATATATGCTTTCTGGGTGTTCGCCTTCCCCCCCCCCACTTCCGATATTTCAAAATATTATCTGGGGGGTCGACGATTGACTGTGCTTGTGTGATGTTTCCCCTCTTGAGAATGATGAGCAGTGACAGGGCTTCCTAGATGGGGTCCGAGTAGATGGGGTCGGAGGATCTGCCGCAACGCCGATACATCGCCTGTGCATCGGCGACGCATCGGCGGAGCATCGGCGATGCACCGGTGACGTCGGCGATGCATCGGCGATGCATCGGCGACGCCGGCGTGGAGGAAATCGGTTCGGCATCGAAACCAATGGGGGAGCTGCGCTCCTTACCCCCCCGGGGGAACCCATCACATCGACGATCTCTCGAGAAGGGTGTCGAAATCGATAGGTCCCCAAGGGGGGTAAGGACCACAGCTCCCACAGTTGTGCATGGCCTTTGGCGGCGCGCACAGGGGGGTGGAGGGAGGGGGGCGGGCTTCTTAGAAGGAGGCTGCTTCTTAGAAGGCGCCGGCCCTACATCTATAGATCATAGATCAGGCCCGCGCCTTCTAAGAAGCAGGGGTGCCTCTAAGAAGCCTTCCCCCCTCTCCCCACCCCCGTCTGCGCGTGGCTGAGGCCTGCTCCGTCCCCCTGGCTCCACTCCCTGGCGCGCACGCGCGACGGGTGTGGCGCCATGGCGGGGGTGGGGCTGTGGCCTCCCGAGAAAACGCATGGGGGGCCCTGAATGAGGCCACCCTGGCCCTCCTGAAGGCCCAACCCTCCTCCTCCTCCTCCTCCTCCTCCTCCTCCTCCTCCTCCTCCTCCTCCCCCTGGCCCCCCTCCCAGGCGCGCACGCGCGACGGGCGTGGCGCCATGGCGGCGCGCACCCCGCCGTTGGCCCCGACAGCAGGCGGCGCGCACCCCGCCGGTAACACGCAGGCCGCCGGGGCCCGCCCCCCGCCGCGCGCGGCGCCGCGCCGCGGCGAGGCGGCCCGCCACCGCGCAGCTCCTCCACGGGAGGGCCTCCGGCCGACGACGACGACGACGACGACGACGACGACGACGACGACGACGGACGACGACGACGGACGACGACGACGACGACGACGGACGCGACGACGGACGACAGCGACGGACGACGACGACGACGACGGACGACGGACGACGACGGACGACGACGACGGCAACGACGACGACTAGGAGGAGGAGGAAGAGAAGGAGGAGGAGGAGGAGCGGGAGGAGGATGGAGGTGGGCACAGAGGTATGTGAAGCATGGGAGGTGGTCAGGGGGAGGAAGGAGGCAGGCAAGAAGGCATGGGAGGGAGGGCAAGGGAAAAAAAATAAGGGGACAAGGGCGATAGGGCATGGCGGACGCAAGATGGAGGAAGAAGGAGGAGGGGGGATGGAGAACGGAAGGGGGAGGAGGGGGGCAACAAAAACACAGAGAAGACGGAGGGAGGGGAGGAAGGAGAGGGGTCGAGAGGGCACAGCAGGGGAAAGGCCCAGGGACGGCGGAGAGGAATCGTGGAGCAGGAGGAGGAGCAGGAGGAGGAGGAGGAGGAGGAGAAAGGAGGAGCTGGAGGCAGCGAAAAGGCAAGAAAGGGCGGGGGCGAAGGCAGGAGACGGACCGGCAGAAGGGGCGACCGGGAGCGGTGAGGCCACGGCGGGCGGGCCCCGAAAGATGGGGGAGAGAGGGAAGGCGCGGGAAAGGGCCAGAGCGAGGGAGGGGCGGGAGGGGGGAGAGGAGGGGGGAGAGGAGGGAGGGGGAGGAGGCGGAGGAGGCACAGCGGCAGAAACTGGGAGGGCAAGGGATAACATGCAGCAGGGGGAAGGAGGCAGACGAGCAAAACAGGGAAGGGGGCATGGAGCATTGAAGAGCGAGGAGGCGTCGCGGGGATACGGGAAGGGGGCAAGGATTCAGGACGACGGGAAGAGGAAGGCAATGAGAGGACGGAGCAGAAGGATGAAGCCAGCCAGGGTGCAGGGAGAAGGGATACGGGAGCGTGGAAGTGAGGTTGTCCTCCTCCACCTCCTCCTCCAGGGATGAGGTACCGGAAGGGACAAGTCTACGCGAAGGCATCTGGGACATCTCAACCCTCTAGGCCGTCCAGACCCCCTCTGACCGCCTAGGCGGCCCGGCGGCCATCGACTCCATCGGGTCTATCCGAACAATCTGGACGGTCTGAGTCTGGCCGAACTGGGTGGACTCGACGGCTGCGTTGGCGAGCGGGCGGCAGCCTAGTCCATCGAGTCGTCTCTCTAATTCATTCGGGTGGCCTGAGGTGCCCGAGCCGCCCAGGCGGCAATTGAATCAATCTAGTTCATCGAGATGGCCAAAATGGCCGACCAGGCGGTGAAAGGCAATCTAGTCCATGTGGACCATCTAGATTGAGATGGCCGCCCAGGCGGCCAAACCGCCATCTACTCTATCTAGACCATCCACGTGGGCCGGATGACCGCCCAGGCGGTGGCCATCTGGACCATCTCCACCTTCCTCGTGGCCTAGGTGGCCACCGAGAGGGTAGGCAACCATCACTCCATCTGAACCAAGTAGTCAATATTGATTGCCTCGGTGTTCTAGATGGACTAGATGTCCTCGATGGCCCACGCGGTCGGCCGCCGCCGTGTCCACCTCAACAATATGGCTTGATTTAGGGCGGGGTTTTCGGACTCAACCGGCTCAACCTGCTTTTGCATCATCGTCATCATCATCGTCATCATCGTCGTCATGATATTCATCATCGTTCGCGGCATCGCCATCATCATCACCATCTCCTCACCATCGTCATCATCATAATATACATCATCATATCCTCGTCATCGTCATCATCATGTAGTGATGATGATGATTAAACCAAGACCCGCATGACGATGATGGCGGCGTGAACATGTTCATGCTGATGATGATGATGACGATGATGATGATGAAGCCGATGATTGCGATGATGATGGCGATGAAGATGATGATGCTGATGATGATGCGGATGACGATAACCTTCTTTCGGACTGCGCGGGCCGTGCTGAGTACCGTGGCAGTCTAGTCGGATTTGGATACTGTTGCAACCTAATCGGAATCGGAAAGCGCCACAGCCTCCGTGGAAGCGGGCCACCGCATTACGTCAAGCACCTCCGTGAGGTCGGGCAGCGCCACGGGGGCCCGTGCCAGGTGATCGGCCACGACGCGGTTCACGACGTTGAAGAACTCCTTCGGGCCAGGCGCGGCGTCGATCCTGCGCGCCCTGAACCCCCGAAAGACTTCGGAGCGGATCATGACGGCGATCTGCGAGAAGAGGCTGATCTGGAACCGGAACCGGTCGCGCCGGTCGCGCCGGTCGCGCCGGTTGCGCCGGTCGCGCCGGTCGCGCCGGTCGCGCCGGTCGCGCCGGTCGCGCCGGTTGCGCCGGCTGCGCCGGTCGCGCCGGTTGCGCCGGTCGCGCCGGTCGCGCCGGTCGCGCCGGTCGCGCCGGTCGCGCCGGCTGCGCCAGCTGCGCCGGTCGCGCCGGTTGCGCCGGTTGCGCCGGTCGCGCCGGTCGCGCCGGTCGCGCTGGTTGCGCCGGCTGCGCCGGCTGCGCCAGCGGCGCCGGCTGCGCCAGCGGCGCGTCGATTGTGATATCAACACAGACATCACAGTCGTCATGTCGCTCTCCCGTCGTGTCCCGTGGGTGGTGTCATGATCTCGTGGCGTGGCGTGGCGTGGTGTGGGGTACGGTGTGATGTGGCGTGATGTTGTGTGGCGTGGTGTGTGGTGTGGTGTGTGCGTGTGTGTGGTGTGGTGTGTGTGTGTGTGTGTGTGTGTGTGTGTGTGTGTGCGTGTGTGTGTGCGGTGCGGTGTGGTGCGGTGCGGTGCGGTGCGGTGCGGCGTGGTGTAGTGTGTAAGTGAGGTCGGTTGCGACACCATCACAGAGATCGCACTTGCCATGTAGGTGCCCCATGGGAGGTGTCATGAGGACGTGATGTCGTGATGTCGTGCCTTTCTGCGGGGGGGATGCCCGGGCAGACTCCTGCCGGCCTTAGTCAAAATGAAGAACACGAGAGGCCGCGGGGGCAGGAATGGAGGAGGGGGAAAGGAGGGCCGAGAGCGAGGATACCACATCAGGAGCAACCTTTTTGACATCGGATCTCGAATGTGTGCGTCGCGAGCTACGCCTCGTAGTCGCCGACGCATCGCCGGGCCGGCCCGTCGGCTGCGCCGGCGCGCACCGCCGCGGGAGGAGCAAGAGGAAACGATGCGGTACTGCGTGCGGAAGTCGCATGCAGAAGGCGCTGGAAAAGTCCCCGGCCGCACCCCGCCCTGCAGCGGATGGCGCGCGGAAGCGTCGAGTAAACAGAAAAACTGCGTCAGCAGCCCGGGTGTGCGTGCAACCCCGGGTGCCTTTCTGCGAACGCAGCGGCGGGGAAAACGACATGCTTGAGCAGCTCGGGCGTGCGTGTAATCCCGAGTGCCTTTCTGCGGGAGCATGCCCGTGGAGACTTCTGCCGGCCCTCGTCAAAATTAAACGCGAGAGGCCGCGGGGGCAGGAATGGAGGAGGGGGAAAGGAGGGCCGAGAGCGAGGAAACCACATTAGGAGCAACCTTTTTGACATCGGATCTCGAATGTGTGCGTCGCGAGCTACGCCTCGTAGTCGCCGACGCCTCGTAGTCGCCGACTCGAAGATAGAACAAGAAGGAGAGAGGTAAATCAACGTACACCTCACAACAATGCCGTGACCCCCCAACATATCGTGGCCAACGATTGTGAAAACCGCTCTTACCAATCTCATCAGGGCGAGGCATGCAAGATATTTGAGGCACCAGACGGTATCGATACCGATGCTTCATGGCCCTCTCCTGGGGTGCCTTCTGACCAGACTCCCGAGGCGAATCCAGCGGTGGCGACGAGGGCCTCCCAGGAGGCCCAACGAGGCGCAAACGAGGCAAGGGTAGCGGTATGTGTGTCTGGAGAACCTGGGGCGGATCGGGAAAGGAGACGCTGCCATGAGCTCTCGGTGGCACGG